GGAAAATAAGAACCAAGAGAGATTATGTAAAGGTGCAAATTTCCAATGATGAATGTAATTATATTATATACCTAAAATGTACCAATAAAATAAAAGTTTAAAAACTGAAAGCAATCCCCTTTACAATACTACCAAAATCACAAACCTAATAAAAAATTTAACCAGTAAAAGATATCTACAATGAAAACTATAAAACAGTGATGAAAGTAATTGAAGAGGACACTGCAATATGAAAAAGTGTCCCGTGGCTTATAAATTGAATCAATTAAAATTATCAGAATGTCCATAAGGCCTAAAGTAGTCTACAGATTCAATGCAATCCCTACCAAAATTCTAAGAGTATTTGACATAGAAGAAGAAGAAGAAAATACAAAAATTCATATAAAATCACAAAAGACCCAAATAGCCATAGGAATCATTAGCAAAAAGAACAAAGCTGGAGTTGTCATACTCCTTAATTTCAGAGTTCCACAAAGCTTTAATAACCAAAACAACACTGTATTGGCAAAAGTCAGACACATAAATGAAGAGAGCAGAATGGAGAATCCAATCGTATATCCATGAATCTCCTGCCAACACATTTTTTAACAAAGTAAACAAGAAAACACATTGAGGAAAGAAAAATCTATTCAATGTAAAAGGATATTGGATACTTCTATGTAGAAGAATAAAATTAGATACCTATTACTCATCATATAAAGAAAACCAATAGAAAATTCATGAAAGATTTAAATGTAAGAGCCAGAATCTTGAAAGTACTAGAAGAAAATGTAGGAGAAATGTTTTATTTATGGTTTTTAACAGTTAGATTATGGTAGGCTGTTGTGTACCTTCTTTGGATTTCCTGCTCCTGAATACACCTGAAGTTCTTAAATCTGTACACTGAAGTTTTCTTTTCCAAGTATGCAAAATTAAGCTACTATTTCTTTGCATATTTTGAGCATCCTATTTCTCTCTCTTCACCTTCAGACATCCCAATTATACATGGATTAGATTTCTTGATGCCCATATGCCACAGAGACTGTGTTCATTTTGTTCATACTTAGGGAGTGTTTTATTTTTGACAATTTCCTTTAATATTTCTTCAAGTTTGCTGGCCCCTTCTTTTTTGTCTAACTTGCTATTAGTCCTGTCTAGTGAATCTTTCACTTCAAGAGGTTACATTTGCTCTTGTTGCTAATTTTTATTTCTCTACTGGGATTTGTCATCCATTCCTAATTATGAACACATTTCACTTTAAGTTCTTGAAAATCTTAACAATACCTACTCTAAAGTAATTGTTTGATCATGCCAATACCTTGCTCCTCTCAAAGTCTCCCAGCTATATTTATGTCTCTGGGTCACATTTTGCTATTTTATTGTTTATTTACTAATAATTTATTATTAGACATTATCAGTGATATTTCATAAAGGCTATGATTTTGCAACATTTCTCTTAAAATTGGAAAATTTTTTTCTAGCAGGCAGTTATATACTAATGAATCTAAAGAAGTCAATTTTATACTTTGTCATGGGTTTAATGTTACAATTTGTTAAAACATACCTGGGTTTTAGTTTTAACATTAGTTTTAAGGAAAATGCCTTAGTCTTATGACTTTGGCTTTAGTGCTGAGGTGTGAAATTTTATAGGTTTTTATAATGAAGATCCTAAGGTGTTACCAAGCCCCTCTCATTGGGGGAGACTCAGTTTCAAATTTAATCTCTCTCATTCTGAGAAGTTGTTAAAATAACTGTTAACCTTTCCTTCCAGACATGATTTTTCCATTATCTCCTTTGAGTGCCCACAGTTCAGGTATCAGCCAATGATTAGAAGATCCTGGCCCCTATCATTCCCTATTCTTTCTGAGATGCCCATCCTTAGATCCCACCTGCCATCATGGCATCTCTGCCTCTGATACCTTAACAAAACTGTGGTTTAATAATGACTTCTAGCTGCTCTATACACTCCTGATCATGAACTTTCTGCAGGAAAAATCTGTATATGGACTCAAATGTTTCAATATTTTAATCCTTTATAGTTTCTTAATTGTTTAGACCACACTCCAGTACTTGAAATAGTTGTGGTTATTAAAACATATTTTTTGGATTTTGAACTTATAAAGGTTAATGTGATACTAATCACCCTTTTGCTAAATATCTTATAACACAACATTTTTACCTAAAGTAATAAAAAGAAGAATAAGGTTTGCTGAGGGTTTGAATATAGGGGATTGTATAGAGGAGACATCAAACATTTCAGTGGGTGAGAGTCTGAGGTAAGGGATCCACTGGGATCAGCATACCTTAATACTGATGAAATACAAAGATTCCAGCAGATATTGAGTTGGTAAAGTCTGTAATGACCTGGGAAAAATCACACGACATTCTTTCAACTGAGAGTCAGGACACAAAATAACATGTACATTACAACTCCATATTTATGAAAGTCTATTTGTGTGCACAACTACCCACATAAGAAGGAATGAAAGACTCAGGAATAGTAGCTAATTAACAGTTTGCCCTGAGTGTCGCTAGGGCAGCAAATTTGTTTACATATTGACTATCTCAAGAATCACTCGGGCAGGTGTCATTTCAACCCAATTATTGTACTGAATAAATTTGATGAAATTGTCATTTTTATATTTCCTGTTATACTATCTTATAAACATTAACAGAAAATATATAATTGTTTTATCATCCTGTATTTAAATAATTGGAATGGTAAGTGGTTAATGAATGCTACCTCTGGATAGAATTACAAGTGTTTTGCTTTCCAATCATCTCCTTTATGCATATTTCCATTTTCTAAATTCAGTAGCAGAAAATATATACATGCAATGAAAGACAATCACCTGATTCTTCCATAGGGTATTGTTACATAGGAATCAAGAGAAAGCAGGTGTACATGTGAGTTAGAAGTGTGATCCACCTTAAGGATTCCCTGTGCAGGGGTCCCATTCAATTAGTATGGATGCTCACCTCAGTGCAGATTGCTTCCCTCTACACTAGAGTGATAGGGAGAGACCTTGTACTGAATTTTGACCTCAGATTTCATTGCTGATAGCACTTCTAGCAGGCCCTCTTCCCCTGGGATCAGAGAAGCAAAGCAGGCAATGCAATCACACTCAGTATTCCAAGTCCTGCTATGTGTGGTTAGAATCATCCTCAGTAAGACTCAAGTGACAAACCATCCCTTGCCATCCTCCTGGGCAAGGTTCAGAGGCCCCAAGATTGCACTGGAAACTCTTTCAATCACCATCACTCAAATGCCCTTGCCCACAGGAATCAGCTGTGTTTCAAATTAGGGAAAAATAGAGATGTCATGGTTCCTTTAACAATAATGCCACAAAAATGGCTCTGATGCCCTTTCCAAAACTAGGTCTAATTGATGAAAATAATCAATGCATCCTTCTTCCATTGTGGCAGTCAACTGGTCAGTTTCCTGAGAGGCTTCCATGTGCCTCGTACAGGAATAAGAATACAAGACAGTGACTATGCCAGCCAAGAGACTATAGTCTCTATGAAAAAAGACAAGTTAAAATTGGAGAGAGACAGAAAAACCAATATAGGTGGGACAAACAAGCCAACAGATCACCTCAGGTTTTACTTTAAGATCAATTCAAGACAAGACCCAGGACCCTGAGTCCAGGAGTCATAGCTACCAGCCAACAGTGATGAGCTTGAGTCTCTGGATCCTATGAGGATTTGTTCCAAGAAATCAGCCACCTCAAAAGGACTGAAAGCCCAATTACCCCAAGGAGTCCCCCTTCTGCCTGCATTGTCTCAACTACAAGTTCCTATTTCATACAACCAGCCCTGCTAGTTACATCTCTGTAGAAAGAGTAAAGACATGGCCCACAAAGAGCTTTCCTTGGGGCCCAAACTTTGAGCCGGGCCAGTGTTGACAGGGAAGCAGCTGGCCAATGTTGTTGGTGGATGCTGGACATAAGGATGAAAAACCTTTGACCACTTCAGACTGCTCCACAGAATGTTCACATCATAGACTTGGTGAGAGCACTGTCAAACTATCTCTTTCCAAGGTGCTCAAAATTAAGAGCAGATCATTCTTAGAGACTTTGCTTAAAGGAAAGATCTATTCTCCTAAAATCCCCAACCTCTTTCATTTCCCCAAGCACCCTGAACACATGCAAGCTATCCCTAAAGGGAAAGACACCCTTAGCTGTCAACATACATGACAGTCACAAAGTGGTGTTCACCAAAAACCCCTGTCTTATGGAAGACAGAGCTGACAGGGATGGTGAAAGGGTTCTGACCACTTTTGATGAATTCTTAAATTTATTTTGTGCTTGCCTTTCAAAGTCACATGGGACATTCCCTCAATCATCCCATGTCTGAGAGGTCAGGGGCTTCCCCAAAGTCCAAAGTACACCACTGTCAGAATGTTCCCAACTCATTTACATAGAATGTGTCCTCAAAAAACAGGACATGGCCTTTTAGGAAATGTTATGCCCTGAGTCACACCAACCACCACACACAAATACTGGGCCAAAGTGATTTCTGGCCAGGCTCAGGTGCAGGACAGGATTCTCCTGAGTGCAACATGTGACAGAGAGCATAACTAGAAAAGTTATGCTGAGTCCTATTTTATGAGTCACACCTGTTCCTCCCCCGACCATACTCACACCCTGGGCCATGATGAGGCTGCTGTCAGTCAGGCTCAGCTGCAGGACAGAAGTCTCCTGAGTGCTACTTTGATGTCTTTGTTTCTCAGAGGGTAGATGAGGGGGTTCAAGGTGGGTGCCACAGATGTGTAGATGACCGACACCACCTTGTCCTTGTTCAGTGTGTAGCTGGATGTAGGATGAATGTAGGTGTAGATGACAGTAGAGTAGTACATGGAGACCACCAGCAGGTGGGAGGAGCAGGTAGAGAAGGCTCTCCACTTGCCTTCAGCAGACCAGATGTGGAGGATGCTGGTGACAATGAAACCATAGGAGAGGACTGTCACAGAGAAATTCCCCACAGCCACTAACAAGTCCGCTGCAAAGACCATGACCTCATTCAGGTGAGTTGGGGAGCAGGAGAGTTTCAGAAGTGGGGGGATCTCACAAAAAAAGTGTTCAACCACGTTGGATTTGCAAAAGGGCAGGTGCATCATGAGGCCTGTGTGCACAGAGGTGTTGGTGAGGCTGATGGCCCACACGACCCCAGCCAGGAATGTATATGCCCAGGGCCCCATCAATGCACTATAGTGCAGTGGCTGGCAGATGGCCACATAATGGTCATAGGTCATGGCTGAGAAGAGCAGCAGCTCAGCCCCCAGTGACCATGTGAAGAAGAGCTGTGCCATGCAGCCCCCATAGGAGATGGTCTTCCTTGTCACCATGCTGCTCAGCAGCTTGGGCAGGATGGTGGAGGTGCAGAGGATGTCCACCAGGGCCAGGTTAGTAAGAAAGAAATACATGGGAGTATGCAGAGCTGGGCTGGAACTGATGGCTACCACAATAAGCAGGTTTCCTGAAAGGGCAGCTGTGTAGAGGCGGAGGAAGGCAGGAAAGAACAGCATTTGCAGGCTAGGGCTTTGGAAGAATCCCAAGATGAGGAACTCAGTGACCAGCATCTGATTCATCCCAACACTCTCTGTGCACTGGGGACCTGTGGAGGAAACTGAGTTGCCTTGGTGGCTATCACAGGGTCTGTCGAATGAAAGTGCTGTGGTTTCAGCTTGTTCTGAAGAGCTCGTCCCTCAGATGCATGTGCAACCCACTTTGATGCAGGATTTCAGGTAGGTTATTGGGGTAAAAACAGAGTTCTGGGCTTCACAACAAGGCAGAGAGAGCCATGGCTTCCAGCTGTGGGGAACTGCCCTCCCCACCACCTATTCCAGAGGGGCTAAGGCTGAGGGTCACTCACAAATAGGAGAACTTGAGCTACTGCTCAGTTCAGCTTCATCCTTGTCCAGCCTCCAGGAAGCATGAATATAGTAGGGAGAGATTCCAGGATATCTCCAGGTAGCCTGAGTTCTGTTTCCTCTTAGAATATTGCAACAGTTGTGTTTACAGCACACTCAGGAGGTCAGACAGATGAGAGGTAAGGAAAACCCAAAACATAAAATGCTGCCACCTCACCTGGTCACATCCACAGCAGCACCTTGGGTAAAGTGTCCTCACAAGGACTTGTTCACTCATCATCAGACACTGCTGTCAATCTCAGCTGGCAGTGTCACCAGAGCTAGAGGAGCAAGGCAAATCTATACAACGCAGGGAAGAACTAAGCCTCTCTCCACATCAGTTCTGCTGTCCTCTGTCCTGTGCAATCCTCACACTACCACCTCACATTTGGCTCACAGTGCAACTCTGCAGCTGCTTGTAAATACCCACTAGATAAACCGCAACCCCAGGCTCACAGGTGCCAAATTCCAAATAAACAGATAAAAGCAGATTGTTTGGATGTTTAGAGAAATTATTCTTTAAACTTAAGAGTACTGGAGCTTGTTTTCAAATTTTCCATTTGCACACATTTCACTAGATCATATCCATTAATTTAAATGATTATTTTCATGCACCTTTATAAAGCTGGGGCCATGATAAACTATTTCCTGGTCTCATCTCACCTCCTGTCTTTCTTAGAGGCTTTGTTTGGGAAGTATACAATCTTCACGTATATTATAAGGATATGTCCCAGTTGAGGTGGCTGGAGAATAACAGACCTGAATGTCACCTGTGGGAGTGTCCTCATAGGCATGCCAAGTACTGGTGTAATGACACAAATCAAACAGGCATCTGTTATATTGAGGAAGAGACTGATAGAAATTAACATAGAAAGGTTGTATGCTGCATTTTGTCCAGGTTGTTCATTTTGCTTTTTCATATAATTACAGAACTTTGATCCTTAAAAACAATGCTCAGAAGAATTCTTAGTCTTCTTCATGGCTCTTAGTCATTTTCATAAAAATGAAAATACCCACCATTTTCAAAATATGGTCATTTATATTCAAACATGTACAGTATATGGAATCAACATCCCAACAGTAGGTGCTTACAAAAAATGGTAAATTTCTTCTTGGAATTCCTGCTATCCACTGAAGAAACTTGCTTTTCACTACGACTAAAAGACAAAAAGTAGTCATCAGCTTTTATTAGGAAGCAGAATTGCTTTAAAATAAAAATTAAAAAGAGCAAAGTGGGTGATATCTGTTAGTATGAGTGGGGACAATAAGACACCACAGGCTCTATATCATCTGTAGTAGCCAAACAAGTGCTCGAGGTGAAGGACCATAGACCTGGGGGGACCAATTAGTCAGAAACACCTGCCTCACTTGGGGAAACCATGCCTGCATTCAGGACCCTCTGGGGAAGCTGACCAGTGCCTGGGGACAGATCCAGTCCTTCCAAGGGAGATTGGTATGACTGGTGCTCCCTGGCTGGGGCAAAGCTGGTACTCTATACTGCCTGCTGCCCAGGGACTGGCTTCCAACATCCCTGTTAGTGACTAGGGGAGGGTTCAGGGAGCTGATAGGTCAGGAGATGAGATGTTCATGTCATTGAGCCAATGAACCACGCAAACCATGGTTCCTGCTCCAGGCAGAAGCATACAAAATTCCTAGGCCAGAGCAGCCCTGTACCTGGTCAGTAGCATGGGCTGTTGCCAGGCATCACAAGGGTCAAGCTTCTCAGAATGGCTGATGGCTATCTGTTAAGGCCACTTTTGAGTGTGGATTCAGCTTTTCCAGCTCAATTTCTTTACGCAGTGACCAAACACACCTGATCACGAAGATGGCCCCAAATCACCTCCAGTTTGGCCAGTTTTAGGGCAACAGAAATTATCTTGCCCTGGGAAGATGATGCTGACCTGAGCTAGCATTAACCTGGTGCTAGCAGGCTGCTCTGTGCCTAGAAAGGTCATCTTAGTATTGTTTTTTTTTCAAGAAACAGAGCCATTTGATGTGGAAACATGGCTGGCTGGTCACCAGTTTCTCTCCGACAGCAACATACTGCAGGCCTTTGGTGGTTTCCTCAGCTCTGGAAGCACCACTGTTGGGGCCCACTTTGATCTTTACCCACTATGCTTCAGCACAGAGGGTTTATCCCTTAATCTTCCACTGGGGGATTCAGAGATACAGTTAGCATGTCACTGGGCTACTTACACAGAAGGGAGAACAAGGTGTGTTTGTTCTTCATTACCTTCCTTGAACCCTTCACCCTGCCTCTACCTACCCCTGCACAAACTTAAACACCTGAAACCTGTGTGCACCTAGACCAGCACTTCTGATCCTCACATGCCATTGCAGTATGGGGCCCAACGATCTGTTCAGTCATTAGAAATTGTCACACCAGGTTCCAGGTGCATCTCAGGGATGCAGAGTTGGGCTGGCCATAACAGTGTCCTCCTTTCTACCCCATCAACCAGCAAAAGGCATGACCAGCACATTTGTCAGGAAAGTGCAATTGTTCTGTCCATTCCCTCCACATATATAGCTCCTTCTTGAGCCTCTGTGGAATGGCAGAGGTTCAGGCATTGGTGCCAAGTCACAGTATGTGAGGACAGGGACACACATTCATGTTCCCATATAGCCCCTGTAGTAATGACCAGTTGGTATGAAACAATGGAAGCCCAGCCCCCTTGCCTATGAGAACTTGATGCTTCTGTGCTCTCTGTGGGGTGAACCTGAGGCAGAAACTCCATTTTAAATCACACTTGGGTGGGGGATTTAGCTCAGTGGTTCCACTGGCTGCCTTGCAAGTGCAAGGACCCGAGTTCGATCCCCAGTATGAAAGAAAGCAAAACAAAAATATCACACTGATACTTGGCTCATTCTCATTCACTAACTGTTTTCCCTGATGCTCCCCTGTTATAAATCCTTACATGACACACAGTACTCATGTGAGAACCTGTCCCCAAGGCAGTCTTCCAAAGGCTACTAGTGGTTACTGATATGTGTTCAAGGGACAAACAGCTTATAATTCACAAAGACAACAGCACTGATGAAAGCATATATCTTAGGCAATGATGAATTTAGCAAAGAAGAGCTTTGCAGACCACCCTTACCTGAAAGGGAGCATTGCGTGCTGCCCCAAGACCAAAGTCCCAGCAACTCCAAGTCCTTTCAAAAAGGTCACTGATGCCACAATTACATCTTGCTTGGGAGCCAATGCAAGGAGGCATACAATTGTCCTCTCCTCCTTTCACTATCTGCTCCTTCCTGTGCCAGTGTCTCCTTTCAGAAGACTGGGTGGGGACATGTCAGGGTGCACTCAGATTCTGGAACCTGCCCATTTGGCTCCTTTATTTCAGCTATAGCAAAAAGCTGGCATCTGTGGTCTTCAAGTATCAAGTGTGTAGTCAATCTTTAGACTCCCACAAAAGCCACAAGTATAATCTGCTGTCCAGTATCAAACTTCCCCAGAAGGACATATGGATGCTACTCTTTCAGCAGATCCTCACTGAACACACACTGGTGCCAGGTATCTTGCATTGTTATTCTTGGTGCAAATCAAGGCACAGGAGGTCCTCGCTGATGCATTTTACACCTACATTCTAGTGTGCCACACTAGTGTAGAGAACATTCATTTGTTCAACTGATATTTGCTAAATGCCTCCTGCATATCAGCTATGGTTGTAGATGCTGGGTATAAATCCTGAGCTAAAAAATAAAGTTGTACAATATAAAAGTGAACAGTAAAATATAAAACTTGATAATTAAACAACAGATTTAGATAAAGATCTGTGATATTGAGGAAACAAAAAGAATAGTGCGATGTGACTTTTGGAGGAAAACTCTCAGATAAAGGTAAAGAAAGACTGTGAGGTGGCATTTCATCAGAGACCTGAATAACAAAGTTCCAGTGTAGTGATAGAGGCAGCAGTGGGGACCAGCAGGCACGTTTGATGGACTGTAGGCTGGGGAGCCTGAGAAAGGGGAGGGTGAGAGTAAGGAAACTGACTACAAAAGGGAGCTGCATTACATAGGACCTTGAAGAATTGGTGTGCAGACTGATTTTACACATAGTGTAAAAATAATCAATTTCTTTGCATTTTAGATGATAATCTAGGGAAAGGAGAAAGGTCACCAAGGAAGTAACTTGCTGACCTTTATCCCCGTGCTCTGTAGGTCAAGCCTTCTTCAATCACTCTGCTATACAGGTCCAGGAGATCTGGAACATTTATGCCCAGGTTCTCTCCAGCTTCCCTCTGTGGCCCCAGGACACTCAAACCAAACTGTGGATAAGAATGTAAAGTAGTTGACCCCTGAGCTGGGCCCTTGTGGATGAGTTTGTTCACAGTCAGACTTACCATAGAAATCTGCCTGAACCAGGATGGAGCCAGGTTTCAGAGTGCTCAAATCATTGTAGAAGCAGCCCCTGAGCACCATCAGTTCTGGAGAATAAGCTACCCTCAGAGTGTGGACCAGGATCTCTTATCCCACAGGACCCCCAAGTAGACTTCCTATCTGCTGATAGCTGCCATATGCAGAAGTTACCTGGTCCATGAAGTCTGGAAACATTGGATCAAACTTGTAGACAAAGGTGTTCTTGCTGCAGGACCTTTCAGAACCTAGTTGTTACTGTCTCAAGAGTCTGACAAAGAATTGAACATAATTTTGTAAGGTTTTTGGTCACAACTTTGCCT